ACTGGATCACTGTCCCCTGCCAAACAAGAAGCCAAAAATATGTTACAAGTTACTTACTAGTACATGGCTTACCTGTGTGTCAGGACTATTTCTAAAGAGAAAAAATTATAATAGCTGCAGAGTTATCAATTCACAGTTTAATTGATTATGTAGTATTATTGATAGTAATAATGATAATACACTTATGGGAAAATTTTCATTCCTTCAGAAACTAGAAAGTACCCTCTTCAGATCAACAACTCTTTTCCTATGTAAAAGAGTAAAGGCTATGTTAACTACTCTTTGATGCTTCAGAATACTAGTAATTTTAAATACACATGTTGGGGAAAGTACAGGGATTATGAATCAATATAACTCCATTTTGTATAAAATGATACTTTTTTAATAACCACAATAAAAATGTGCTTATGACTCAGCTCATATGAAAGACAGAATAGTAGATCCCAGATATTGGGAGTTGCTAGCACCCATTGTTCAAAACTGACAACCACCAGAGGAAATCTCTAGACATAAGAGATAGATATTTGTGAAAAAGTCCATCAGGCCCAGATCTGTATCTCAAGAGCATTTATGTAGATAAGCTCTGTTGGAAAGAACAGTTCTTTTCTACCATCTCACTTTTACTTTCATGAAATTAAATTATGAGTCCCTGTGTGTACTAGAAATGGTAATTGGAGCTAACCATTCTCAGTATTGATACATTTGATTTTAGTAGTCATTCAAATCCAGAATAAATATTCTATAGATCGTGATGGCATTCCTTGACCTCTCTTTTATTAACTGAAATGTTAAGGGCTGTCTAAGACTGAACTGGGGCTTACTTTCCTAAAACTTTATGGGAAGAATTGAGTCACTGAAATTTAGGAGGGGGAAACTCAGAGGCCTTGCAATGCTTCTTACGTATGCCTTTTTCATACAGAACACTAATTTATATATATAAATGCCTAAGCAACCAGCCTACAGCTCGACCGTTCAACTGGTAGCTATGATGTGCACTGACCACCAGGGGGCAGACACTCAATGCACAGGCTAGGAAGCATGGAATAGACTGATGAATCTCAGAGGGACAGGGAGGGTGGGAAGAGATTAACCAAAGATCTTATTTGCATACTAGAGGCCTGGTGCATGGATTCATGTATCAGTGGAGTCCCTTGGCCTGGTCTGCAGGGATCGGGCCAAAACTGGCTCTCCGACATCCTCCAAGGAGTCCCAGATTGTGAAAGGGCACAGGCCAGGCTGAGGGACCTCACCAGTGCATGAATATGTGCACCGGGCCTCTAGTGATTTACATAAAGAGGTAATTGGATAAATGTTGTGGCCTTTAGAGAAGAGATTTTGTCACATCCATTTCTCAGGAGAATTGCATCACAACCCTTGTCAAGTGTTGATATTATTTTTGTTCTGTATTTGCCTCTGGGAATGGATTTTTTTTTTTATCTGCATAGAATGCTATACAATTATGAGCAGATGCATGTGCAAAAGGTTAGAGAATTAAGTTTATGAGCATGTATTCTCTCAGGTGCCTAAAAGATCTGGAGAGAAATGTGTAGAGAGGATCAAAAAAGAGTGTAGGAAATTGAAATTATAATTGTATAAAAGGGGTTAGCTCTGAGTAAGTGTCAGACCTGCATAGACATTCTGAAAAAGAGGTAAATATTTCATTTAAGATCTGAGCTAGGATATGAAGGGTGTTAAAAATAGTGCCGATTTTCTCTTGGTCTAGTGGGTATTTCTCCTTTCTTTTCTTCTCTCAGCAAAAGTAAAATTCTTCAAATCTGCAACTAAAACATGTATGTATCCTTCCTCAGGTCAACATAGGAAAGTAAAGCTCTAATAAAACAAATGATGCTTATAAGTCAAGGTAAGCATTTTACTATTTTTCTATATTTATTCTCCATTTTTTCTAATCCTTGCTCTCCATTTACCCCTGCAGATGTACACCTGGAAAACAACAGGGCAAATGGATTTGCATCTGCATTAAATTTTGAACATTTGGGCATATTTTGAACATTTAATTAATTCGGATAAAATTAAACTCTGATTCACTAGTTTTAAGTGGGAATTATTCGTTAAACAGTACATTTTCTTTATTGAGGATACAAAGGGAGGATAAGGACTTCTACATAAGGAAATCAAAAGTTTTCATAGAGGAGGTGATGCTTGAGCGAAGAGTTGAATAATAAACTGCTATTTGTTAGATGGTAAAGTTATGAAGACACAAGAAAATCTAAAAGAAACAGGCTATGTAATACCTTAATCAATAAAGAAAAAAATTATATTAAAAAAAATAAAAGAAACAGGCTAAAAGCATAGGAAAGTATAGGATACATGTTTTAGCATTTTAAGATACCTTTATAGAATTCCAAAATGCATCTGCTAATGACTAGTAAAAAGCTTGCAAGGAAGGTTGGAGTGAATGGCAATAATAATAATACTAATAGCATACATTTATATGGTGCTCCCCATAAGTCAAACATTCTCATATGCATAGTGTTTTCCAATAATGCTTTAAGTAATTTTCTTATTATTAATATGAGGAAGGGATGACTATTATCTCTATTGATTAGTTGAGACAAATGAAGCCCCGGGAAACTGTTGGTAACTTGACAGACTACACAGAGCTAGTAAGTGCTGAAGCTTAGACTGAATGTCCAGAATTCATGGTCTTAACCACTTTACTATGCTTTCCACATGGACAGTTGCTTTTTATGTAACCTTCCTGCTGAAAGCATAAAATACCACAGCTACATGAATTTTTATATTTCGTTAAAAAATAAAACTTTGGGTTGCATAGCAAAGCATGAATTAGGAGGTAGAAAGACCAAAGAGAAAACAAGGAGGATAAAATTCCAGCAATTACAGATGATCCAAAGAGATGTAAGAGTAATCATGGAGTTAAGAGAAGAGAATGGAGAGGTTTCTGAAGCTAAATCTACATGAATTAGCCACTGCATGAGTGAAAAAGTTTAAAGGAATGGGAAACATTCCATTTTCCAATGGAAATTTGGTATTTTGCATCCATTTACAAAAATAGAAATAAAAGTTTTCTCTACAGAAGTCCTGAGCCCACTGATAAACATGGGATGTGTTGTTGTTGGCAATGTGGAATTGAGAAAGACTAATGAATTTTTAATACTTTCTCCTGAAATGCACACCTTTCCAAATTGAGATCACCCACCATACATAATCAAACCTAGAAATGAGCCTTGGAAATCATAATTGTGTCTAAAACATTGCTATTTCTGTACCCCTGTTATAAAATACATTATGCATTTTCTTTTACTTCTACCTCTTTTGATTTTGAAAATTTAGATGAAATTATGAAACCAGTAATCTGATTAATGAAACTAAATTTTCCCCATTACCAAGAGGAAAGAAGATTATGAAAGACTTTGTTGGATGGGACAAAACAACATATTCTGAAGTGGAAAAAGATACTACAAAGAACTGAATGGTATGGGAATAATGTTCTATATTAGACTATAATAAAAGGAAATTGCAGGCAAATGTATAAATTGGAACATAAACTAACACTTGCACAACAGAATGAATGGACTGGAAGAACGGGAACCTGAGGTAAGTAACACTTCAAAAAAGGATTGTATAGGAAAAGGTAGTTGAAGGAGGCATAAAACAGGAAAGGGATGCATTAAGGATGTGTAAAATCACCACACTTTTTTTTTAAAGAATAATTCCAAATAATTTTAATTTACTGCATTACTTTAACACATTTATATATAACCTTGTTCAGAAACACCTTATTTTTTTCTAATTTTTCCAAAGTTAGGTTAGACTTAGGGACATTTTACCCCATCCTATTGAAGCAATTAATAATTAGACTCCATGAAATGTATAAAAACTGTTTTTTTTATTTTTTAGGAAAAATTATAACATGAATTAAATCCCCTGAGTAAATACATTTACCTATTCAGTATTGTAGTGTATTTGAAATATATTTACTCCTTGTGTTGATAATTCATGAGGCATTTTACTAAATTAACTGAGTAAGATCAGTTTTGTTCTGTATACATTTTCAAATACTAGTAAATACATTATTTATTGATCACATTTTAATAATAAAATTTTTTTCCTATAGAAATAAACTACATAGCAACTTTTACTTTTTCGATATTGTTTTATCAAGTAATTTTTTTCCATACCAAAATTTGTGGTTTTAAATTTTAATCAAGATTTTTTATTTATATATACTTTTTTTTCTACCCATAAAATATCAAATTGTAACCAAGTTTCTGGAGAATAAATTCCCTAGCACCTACCTCTAGGATGAAGGTAGAGTCCAAATACCAGGATGAGGTACTTTTATGTGCTTGATAAGCATATTTTTAACACGACACATAGAATATGGTATTGCCCAGATCATTGTCTTTTTGACATTAAGGATCCTACCCTTATTGGCCCCATGCTTGCTATAGTACTTGAAATAGTGAGTATTCCTTTAATTTTTTTGTCTGATCTCTTGACTAATTGCTTATTGGGTAAGGATGTAGGAAAAATATTTGGTAACATCAGTATATTACCATAAGTATCTATATTTATTAATAAAGAACACCAAACCAATATTCAATGAAATAGGTTTTAACTGACATTACACAAACATATGCCCTTATATTACTAGAATGTGTTTTCTTTCAATAGTGAGAGTGTTTGTGCCTGTTACTGTCTAAGTGTATGAGAGAGAGCGAGAGAAAGAGAGAGAAATGCAGACAGCACAAAGGGAAAAAGACAGGTAAAAAGTGAAGGCGGAGAAAAAATACAGCAGCGGTTGAAATCTGATAAAAATTACCCAGGAAGCCTATATCTGCATTCTTGGACACACATAATTGCCCCATCAAAGTGAGTATATCTCACAAAATGCCATTAGAATCACATTATTATATAATCAGATTATTATTATACAAACCTAGGTAAGAACAGAAAACAGAAGAGAGATAACCCACACTGCCACCTTGAATCAGAAGCTCTAAAGCAGAGAGTTCATCATGTTCAAGCTCAATGGCACAGTCTTCATGCCCTCGGTGCTGACACTGGTGGGGATCCCTGGTCTGGAGTCTGTTCAGGCCTGGATTGGCATCCCTTTCTGTGCCATGTACATCGTTGCTCTGTTTGGGAATTCTCTGATCCTGGTCATCATCAAATCTGAGCGCAGCCTCCACGAGCCCATGTATCTCTTCCTGGCAATGCTTGGAGCCACAGACATTGCTCTCAGTACCTGCATCCTGCCAAAAATGCTAGGAATATTCTGGTTTCATCTGCCCAAGATACACTTTGATGCCTGTCTCTTGCAAATGTGGCTTATTCACACCTTCCAGGCCATTGAGTCAGGTATCCTGCTGGCCATGGCCCTGGACCGCTATGTGGCAATCTGTCATCCTCTGAGACATGCAACCATTTTTACCCACCAACTTCTCACTCAGATTGGGGTTGGGGTGACCCTCAGAGGAGCCCTTCTTGTGGCTCCATGTCTCATCCTCATCAAATGCCGGTTGAAGTATTACTGGACCACTGTGGTCTCCCATTCATACTGTGAGCACATGGCCATCGTGAAATTGGCAGCAGAAGATACTAGAATCAACAAGATCTATGGTCTGTTTGTGGCTTTCAGTGTACTTGGCTTTGATATAATCTTCATCACAGTATCCTACATTCAAATATTTATAACTGTCTTCAGTCTGCCTCAGAAGGAAGCCAGGCTGAAAGCCTTTAACACCTGCATTGCTCACATTTGTGTCTTCCTTGAGTTTTATCTCCTGGCTTTCTTCTCCTTCTTTACACACAGGTTTGGCTTCCACATTCCACCTTACATTCATATTCTTTTGTCCAACCTTTATCTGCTTGTTCCAACTTTGCTCAATCCCATTGTGTATGGTGTGAAGACCAAACAGATTCGAGACCGGGTGTCCCACATTTTTCATTCTAAACATGCCTCTGGATTTCTTATTAATCTTTTATCAAATAACAAAATTTTACATGAGAAACATTAGTTTTTGGTGAGATTCTGTGCTTTAGAAAGTTCATTGTATGCTAAAATATCAAGTTCTAGGTTTGTATTAGAGATAGTAAAGCTACGATTACTTAAATAATTTCTTTTGTTATAAATTCAGAATTATTTGGAACATATATTTAGCTGATAAGCGACATGAGAATAAATTATGAATACTTGTTTGTAGTAAATTCAACTTTTAGTAAAGTACATTCTGTAAAAGTACAACTAAATATTATTATTTTAGCCTCCATTTAAAAATATCAAGTGATATTGATACCACTGCATAGGAAATAGTATAAAGTGTTAGAATGTGGTGTACATGAAATAAAATTACTAGTATATGTATAATTGTTTATGATCATACTCATTATAATCTTTATCATTAAGGCTCTAAAATCTTTAATTTGTGATGATCAATTATACAAGTACATTATGTGGATTTACAATTTATCCATTGAAATGTATTTATAATTACTTGTTTTCCACAAAATATTTGCATAGCATATTAAAAAGACATATGTTTTATTATCATATAATTGAAGTACAAATTTGACTTTGAATTTAAGACAAAGGATGAAGTAGGTATGAAATGATAAGTTTTAACATTTTTTGTGCTAAGATACCATATATAAGAAAATTTTTTTTCAATAAAAGCAAGTTCTACCCATCTGGCATGACTCAGTGTTAGAGCCTCGACCTATGAACCAGGAGGTTATGGTTCTGTTCCCAGCATCCTCTCCTTCATTCTATATGTTGTTTTCTGGTTTGTGTATGTTCTTTTCCACCTGCCCAGGTTGCGAGCTCAATCCCCAGTCTCTCTCATCATTGAGTTTCAATCTCTCTTTCCCTCTCAATTTTTATTGACTTTAATCAATAAAAATATATAAAAAATAAAAGCAAGTTCTATAACTACAGTTTATGCAGAAAGAGTTGTTTACTTATGGGAGAACATATATATTTTACTTATATTCATTGTTTTGTTGTTATTTTTGTGTTTCCTTGGAAGTTATATCTAAACTAATATTCACACATACTAGATGTATATATTAGAAATGGGCAATAAAGTTTATTAGACTTTTACCTTAAATAAGTATTGTTGTAAATGTGTTTATGGATTTAAGAAAAAATGATTCTTCTCAAAAACTTAAATATATATGGAAGACAGTATGGAGTTTCCTCAAAAAACTAAAAATGGAACTCCCATTTGACCCTGTGATCCCACTTCTAGGAATATATCCCAAGAAACCAGAAACGCCAATCAGAAAGGATATGTGCACCCGTATGTTCATAGCAGCACAATTCACCATAGCTAAGATCTGGAAACAGCCTAAGTGCCCATCAGCAGATGAGTGGATTAGA